GTTACTTCATATTCTTTTACTTCCCCTCTCTCTCTCTCGCTCTCTCTCTCTCTCTCATACACGCACACACACTCTATTTCTCTCTATATGTAACAAGACTAAATATTTCATAAATACTCTTAGATGTATAATATAAAGTGGGGACTTTTTTTTCCACCCTAGTTATTAAGACTCCTTTGTATTAGGCAACTGAGAGTAACAATATTGTTTATTGCACTCCGGACACTCGGCCAATAGATGTCTGGACTCTAAGAGTTGTTTATGACCCCCTCTGTTCGTCTAACAATCGTGGGAAACATCTAAAAAGCTTCAATAAAAGGATCCGGTACGTTTTATATGTGAACCGTTGATCGTCACGAAAAAATGGAGTTGGCGAACCGAATTCGAATATGAGGCTTAGCTTGTTTCATTCCCTATCAGCCTTATCAATCTGATTCTTCCAAGTTATAGGTAAAAATAGCAGAGTAGACTGCACTTTTTAGCCTTGGCTGGTAGCCAATATAAGGGAAAGAAAATTCTGCATTCAGAACAGCAGAGAGGAAAAACAATATATTTTCTAAGTGGTGGCAATTCAAAAGATAATAAAGAAAAGGAAATTGTGGAGATCTATAACCGGCTATTTGCTGAAGGGATATAGTATTTTTAAGTTTCTATTTACTCAGCGTCTGATACAAAATTACTCATATGAGAATCGTGCTTTGCAAAATAAACCTGCTGGCCACGTAGTCCAAACGAATATTATTCTCTGAATTTTTTTTTATTCGTTCTTTTTCTCTTTCATTTTCTTTTCTTTGATTATTTAAATTTTATTTTATTTCTTTCATTATGTTTCCTTTATCCATTCTTTTTTTTTTCTCTTTCTGATTCTCTTTCTTTTCACTCATTTCTATTCAAATGTCTCCTTTTCTAATTAATAGACATCTTTCTTTTTTCCATTCTACAGGGTGATTGAAAAATAACTCCCTATTTTATGTATGAGGGACTCTCCCATTTAAGTATAATTTTAATATAACAATACAGGAGAGTCCATCATACATAAAATAGGGAGTTACTTTTCAATCAATCTGTATATCCTCTTCCGCCTGACAGGGACTGCAACGTGGTTTGATGGGCAACAATCTTGTCTCACTAGATCAATTACTGGTTACCCTATACTTTCAGACTTGTGCCATACTAAGCTATGGTTAGTAATTCGGAATATTCTCTTCCTAATCGGCATTTCTTTTAATGTATTCCATTTTATATATATATATATATATATATATATATATATATATATATATATATATAAATTATGAATCATTCATACAAAAAACAAATATAGAGGTTTTTGTATGAATGATTCATGAATTTATAAATTATATTTGCACCTTTTAATTGAAATTAAATATATATATATATATATATATATATATATATATATATATATATATATATATATACTGCGTGCCAAATCCTTGTCGAGATAACTTTTTCTAATATTTCAAAAACCGTCCAATTAATTCACACAAAATTTTCACACAATGTTGGCAACACTGACCTGTGCAATCACTGAAATTTTCGTATTGATCTGCGCATTATAAACACACTGGCGCCATATTTGTTATCAGCACGGTGATTTGAGCGTACCAAATTAGTAAAAGTCCCAAAATTCAGCAAACAAAACGTTTATTAATGTTGTACGTGAATGTTTATGATCAAAAAAGCTAATAAATAAGATAATCAAACAAATAATAACAGATACAAACAAAGGCACAGTTTTAAACAAGTTAATAGGGAATGTGCTTTCCCTGTTTTGAAATTACTTGAAGAAGTCGACGATCCATAGAAATTGTAGGATGTCATCTGCTGTAATGCCGTGAGATATGTCAAGAATTGCTTCCCACAACTCAGCGTTTCTCCTGAATTGTCGTCTGTTGGCGTACAGTCTTCGCTTCATGATGCTCCAAAAGTTTTCGATTGAGTTCAAATCCGGAGAATTGCTGGCCACTTCCTTTTTCGAGGTCCATCGAAGCCTAACTGTTTCAAATATTCAGTAGTCTTGTGAGCAGCATGTGAGGGAGCATTATCTTGTATAAAAACAATGGCCCTTCTGAAGGCAACTCTTTGCCTTTACATCCACGGTTCAAGATGCTCCTTCATAAATGCTATGTATGCATCAGCAGTCATTTTGACGCCATCTGGTACTCTCCATGGGCCCACTAATGTTTTTCCAATAATACCACCCCAGATCATTATGCCTCTACCGCTTTGTTGGTGTCTCAAACGCTGATGGCGATTCTGTCCGTTCATTACCCAGCCTTTGCACCATCTATCTGGCCCATCAAGTGTTGCTCGAGTTTCGTCTGTGAACAAAACTTTAGAGAAGTCAATCTTTATATTGTCCTCGGCCCATTTCAATCGATTTTGAATGTGATTTCTCGTCAACGTAGGCTTCGATACAGGTTTGACTGTTGTTGCTATTTCCCTCAGATACCGACACCGAGTACTTTTAGACACAGTAGGATCCCCAATGTGACTGAAAACCTCTTGATTGGTAAGTCCAGGGTTCTTCGTGGCCTCTCATTTAAGTCATGACATGAGACGACGTGAAATAACACTCGGCTTGCCTTTATCTGCCCTTTTGCGAACTTGTGTAGGGTCGGCAGTGAACTTTTTCATTGTTTGATGACACCTCCCTATCATTTTAGAAATTTCTAGGGTAGATTTACCTTTTGAGAGTTCTGAGGTGATAGTTTTCTTTTCAGCATCACTTAAACTGCTTTTACGGCCCATCTTTTCACTAAATTCTAACACTTTTTAATAATTTGGCACGCTCAAATCACCGTGCTGATAACAAATATGGCGCCAGCTTGTTTACATTGCGCAGATCATTACGAAAATTTCAGTGATTGCGCAGGTCAGTGTTGCCAACATTGTGTGAAAATTTTGTGTGAATTGAGTGGACGAGTTTTGAAATATTAGAAAAAAAGTATCTCGATAATAATTTGGCACGCAGTGTGTATATATATATATATATATATATATATAAATTGCTCGACTCTTCCGTCGAATCCGATGTATGAGGGTCAAGCAGATCAGTTCCCAGGAAACCGACAGGATATATATATATATATATATATAAAATTATGCATTTTAAACCCCAGTCTTTCTTAAATATTCCTCTCCTGATTCCCATTGCATATTTCTGTCAGCTTATAAAATGTTACTTCTTTAACACTTGACGATTATCGAGCAGTTATTTTACTTGTTACGAAAACCCGGAAGTAAGCCAGATTACATACGATACATACGCGTATATGATGGAAATTGTAAAATTACTAATTAACCTAACAAGTCTGAAAATAAAATTAACAAACAAATACAATAAAAAGAATAAAATTATCAAAAAATACATCCGAACAAAAGCGATTCTTAGTACTTACAGATGGGATTTCATGTTAAATCTTGCTAAACTCGAGTCAATGGTCATTTAGTGAAAAGTGTGGCAGACGTTAAAAATAAGTCTCTATTTCAGAGACCAAATGCATTCTGGTTGGCTGTGTTAGGGAGATGGGAGGTTAATCAAACAAAGTACTGAGCTGTTATGTGACATCTGTCTTCCTTTACAACAGCGAATGTTGGACGGAGTTGTGGTTCTACAGAAGGATGCTACGAATACCATGGACCGAACATATTGGGATGGCCAAAGACGCAATCCAAAAGCTAGGCAGAATATTACGAGACAGGAGGATTTTTTTGATAACAATGGAAAGAGTACTGAGCTGTTACGTGACATCTGTTCTCCTTTACGACAGCGAATGTTGGACGGTCTCCTCAAAGATGAAGACGATCCTCGAAGCAACGGTAGTATGGTTCTACAGAAGGATGGTAAATATATCATGGACCGAGCTTATGAGAAACGACTAGGCCTTGGAGAGGGTGCAAATAAGGAGGAAGCTTATCAGGAAGAGGCAAGTGAAATTTCTGGGACAGGTAATGAGAAAGGAAGGCTTGTAGAATCTGATACTCACAGGTCGAATAGAGGGAAAGAGAGACAAAGGAAAGCAAGGCGTGACGTACCTAGCGGGCTTAAGCAAGTGGATGGCAGAACATGGCCTGGGGGAAGTAGCAAAGGGACAAAACTTATAGAGAGCAACAAGGGAGAGGAGGAAGTGGAGAGCCATGATCGCCTACGTCCTGAAAGGACACGGCACATAAAAAGAAAGAACACTCGACGCTTGATAAGAATTCATTTCCTTTGTTATGCAATAAAATGTCATTTAAGTCCGCTCCTGGTTTCTGTTAAACATTCTCTCACATCTAATCTCCGATTTAGAGATTTTTTTTTTTATTAAATTGCTGTTTTTTACGGCTTAACAACCCTTTGTATGTTAGTTAAATCAGAAGCATATTTTGGAGGTTTTGTGAGATTGAATATTTCAGTAACGATCTTTTGAAAATAATGATTTTTTCAAATCCTACTATTTAACACATAGCTGGGGGAGAAGAACTGGATCCATACTTTTCCCAATGAACTGGAATTCGAACACTGCTTTCCCACTTCTCATTCCGAGACAATATCCATTACACCACCTACACATCCACTAATTAGAGATAGAAAAATATACTCATCTCCAAAACAACCAATAATCTAGTCTTCCATACTTCTCTCTGACACCGACACTCCTTCAACCCCTTTTCCTCACTCCCCCACCGTCTTTCTGTTCATCTTCTCCTTTAACTTTTTCTCCATTTTCTCTTTCTCATTTTCCTACTCTCATTTCTTCTCTCCATTACACCTCTTCTTTCCCTTTCTTCATTTCTTTCTTTGTTTCTCCAATATCCACCCTCTTTGATTACTGCTGTCTTTATCCCTTACTTTGCCAGATGGATTTTGTTTTTATTTTGTTTTTTTTTTCAGGTTTAAAAGCTTTGTTGCCCTGTAACTTAAATCTTTTCGTGCTTCACATTTTGGATTGAGTCACTTTCGTCATCTTCACTCCAGGCAGACATCTTGGATGTCTGAGAAGCTGAAAGATTATCAGATTCGATCGGTGCTAAGAATTGTTTTTTTTTTCTTTTTTTCTTTCTTTCTTTCTTTCTTTCTTTCTTTCTTTCTTTCTTTCCATTTTATTTCTTTCTTTTTGTCTGATTGTCTTTTCATTATTTGCATTCTTTCTTTATTTCATTCTTTCTTTCTTCCTTTATGTCTATCTTTCTTTTCATTATTTATTTGCATTCTTTCTTTATTTCTTTTTTTTCTTTTTGTCTGTCTGTCTGTCTTTTCATTATTTGCATTCTTTCTTTATTTCATTCTTTCTTCCTTTATGTCTGTCTTTTCATTATTTATTTGTATTCTTTCTTTCTTTCCTTTTTTTTGTTTTTTCCCTCTTTCTTTATGTCTGTCAGTTTTTTTTTCAGTTTTTTATTTGCATTCGTTCTTTCCTTCGTTCGTTCTTTCTTTCTGCTTGTCTTTCTCTTAATTGTTTATTGCATTATATATTTGCAGTCCTTCTTTCAGTTGTTGTCTTTATCCATTCTAGATTGTTTTTCATCCATTTTATTTCTTTCAGTTCTTCTGTTTATCATTTCCCTCGTGTTCTTTCTTTCGTTCTTTCGTTCTTTCTTTCGTTCTTTCGTTCTTTCTTTCGTTCTTTCTTTCTTTCTTTCGTTCGTTCTTTCTTTCTTTCTTTCTTTCTTTCTTTCTTTCGTTCTTTCTTCTGTTCTTTCTTTCTTTCTTTCTTTCGTTCTTTCATTCTTTCTTTCTTTCGTTCTTTCTTTCTTGCTTGCTTCCTTTTTTTCTTTTTCCTTGCACTGTTTTTGTTTCTTTCGTTATTTGTTTCTTTCTTTCGTTCTTTCTTTTTTTCTTTCGTTCGTTCGTTCGTTCGTTCTTTCTTTCTTTCTTTCGTTCTTTCTTTCGTTCGTTCGTTCTTTCTTTCTTTCTTTCTTTCGTTCTTTCTTTCGTTCTTTCTTTCTTTCGTTCTTTCTTTCTTTCGTTCGTTCTTTCTTTCGTTCTTTCTTTCGTTCGTTCGTTCTTTCTTTCGTTCTTTCTTTCTTTCTTGCTTGCTTCCTTTTTTTCTTTTTCGTTGCACTGTTTTTGTTTATATTTCCTTTTCCTTTTTATTTACCTTTTTTATTGCCTTTTTTAATTTGCATTTATTCGTCTAACAATATATTTTCTCTTCGTTCGTTCTTTTTTACTTTCTTTATATCCTCATATAACCTCACGATGTCTTCATTTTCCTTGTATTTGCATTTTAAACTTGGCGGGTAGTTTTCTTTCCTTTTGACTTCATTCATTCTTTCATTCATTCTTTCTTGCTTGCTTTCTTTCTTTCTGCAGAGATCATCATTCGATTTTCTTTCTTCTTTTCTCTCATACTTTCGCTGTCTAGATTTCTTCTTTCTCGTTTTCATTCGTGATTTCTTTTTTGCGTCCAATTCGAGTTTGTCTTATGGAACTTTCCAACAAAGTGATCTCTGTCGTTTGACAAGCAGCAGCGAATACACCAAAATCCGATCAAAAGAAATTTGCCTGTCGTCGAACGCCGTTAGATTCAGACAAATTGAATAAATTCCGCTGTTTTTGCTGTTAAAGTCGTTTCTGATAAAAAGAAAATTATTAGCTTCCTTTTAATATTGTGAGCCCAAAAAGAAAAGAAAAAAGTACTGAATAAAAAGTGAATGATGATTGAAAGAAAGAAAGAAAAAAAAACAAAAGAATTCAAGGAAATGTATATAAACGCTAAAACATAAGAAAGAAACAAAAAAGAAAATGAACGGATGAAAGAAAGATATACAGAAAACAAGGAAAGGAGATTTTAGAAAAAAAAAATGTCTTCCCCTAATGTGAATTTTTCAAGTGATATTTCTTTCCTCTCCTCTTTTCGGACAATCCCATTTTGTCGTTCTCAGGTTAGTTACATCAACGACCACCAGGGGGCAGCAATGGTATCCTGTAAATCTTGACACCTCTTCTGCCTTAAGTGTTTCTTTAGTATCATATATCTAGGAACACGCTGATCTTATAATGATTCCATTATCTACAAGTTTCTGTCGTTCCTCTCAGCCATATTTGCAAGCCTTTTGCTTTAATCTCTAAATGTATTTCTTTCGGCAAAAAAAAAAGTTAACCAGGTGGCAGTGTCTCATGTAATGGAATTCGAATCTTATTCTGTCACTTAAAACATCCGAGATGTTATAATTAGCCAGGATAAACAGATGTTACTTTAGGTATATTAGCATAAAACATTTGCAGCAATATATATATATATATATATATATATATATATATATATATATATATATATATATATATATATATATATATATATATATGCAAAACTAGGTAATCTGTATGGGTAGACCCAAAGAGGATGATATCCGGAGAGCTCAATGTAAATTCAGAGCCCATATTTTTGAATAAAAACAGACCACTGTAAGGTTCCATGTAATAAATTATTTCACCACAGCCCTTTCAAAGGGCTCTGGATCATCAGAATTTACTTCCAAAGGGTGAAAAAAAATATATATATATATATATATATATATATATATATATATATATATATAGTTAAAGATGTTTTTGGTAATCCGTATGGATAACTGCACGGAGATATATATATATATATATATATATATATATATATATATATATATATATATCGACCCATGTTTAATTTATCCTTCTTTTTTTTCCCCTCTCTATCTCTCTATCTCTCGTTTTCTCCCCAACAATCTCTGTTCCTTCACTCTCTCTCTACAAGTTTTTAACTTCATATTAAAGTTTTTCTTTATCTTTCTTCTTCTTTTTTATATATATATATATATATATATATATATATATATAGATAGATAGATAGATAGATAGATAGATAGATAGATAATACTCTTTGGTAAAATATACATACATATGCAAAATATATAAACATATATATACATAGATGCATACACATACATATATATTTTTTGAATAAAAAATTCCAAGAGGATAGAATCCAGGTAGAACTCAATGTCCAGGACAGAATAAGGATATAATAAAAAGGCTTAAACACTAATATTCCATGGTCATAATTTATTCCATTGGAATCGTAAATACGATTCAATTCATCAGACCTTTGTAGGTCTGATGAATATATATATATATATATATATATATATATATATATATATATATATATATATATATATATATATATATATATTTCAGACACATTGGGTTGTATATAGGTTTCCAACGAGTTTCGGACAGTTTGGACATCATCAGGAGAAAAAAAAAAAAACTGCTTGTTAGTAGGAGTGTCTCTGAAGAAAGTGAAATTTATTTAATTTTTTTTATATATATATATATATATATATATATATATATATATATATATATATATATAGATTTTTTATGTTTATACATTCTTTTTATAGATATATTTAAGTATATAGGATACAGGTTCGAATCCTGTTGGAAGACGAATATTTTCTGCGAAAATTTCTCGGACATTCAGGCCGGTAAATGTTGTTTAATACTGTTTATTATAAACAGAGTATTTACTTAAATATTTGTATCTATAAAAGAACGTATAAACATAAAATGTCTTAAAATAATTGTCAGATTTTTGTCCATTTCATATATATATATATATATATATATATATGATGGACTCTCCCCGTCGGTTTCGACGTATGAGGATCTGACAGCTTAATTGATTAAGTTATGAAAGTTCGTGCAATAATCTTAAGTGCCATTAAAACCCGCTAGTGATTTACAAAGGAGGCTACATATGAGCAAGTGTGAGGATTGTGAGATGAGATCACTGTTAGACTGACTGACCTTTTAGATCTTGCTCTCGATTCTTGAAGATGATTCAGACAAGCAGATTGAAAATTGCTGAGTCCACTAAAACACGTTGATCTCCATTCTACCCGCTCCAAGGCTAAGCGCTCAAATATACATATATATATTTGAGATATTCCATGCTGAGAAGACATTAAATATCGACCGAAGCAGTTTAGCCAACCATTTGGCCAACTCATGGTGTCTTTTGAGATCGTCAGTTTACGACCCTTCGATTGGGCAGCATTTGTGCGATAATCCTGATTGTGCCGCCGATTTTGAGGACACATTTTTCTACATTCTACATAGTTGCCGATCAGTTTCCCATCTCCGAGTTCGCGAAGCTGTGATTATAAAATTCAAACCAGCCGAGCCGATGCAAACAAAAGGAGCATTCCATGCGTACCTTACGTTTCAATGAGAAATTATGAGTGTTTTTTTGTTTTTGTTTTTATAACGTATACTCTATTAGAACTTCACAATAGTTTTTATTTGTGAATTTATTTAAAATAAAAATTTATTTTAATGGCGTTCCAGGTCTACCTCCTCATTCATTATTATTATTAATGCATATCACCAACGATTACCTTCTGAAAAAGCGTTGGCCGAAAGAGCTCTAAAGATACAATAATGAAGACTATTTTCTTCAAGTCTATGTTCAATATATATATATATATATATATATATATATATATATATATATATATATATAGTAACGGTCTATATTTCTGAGATAAGGCATTATGTACATTATTTACATTATTCGGACTATTGTCCTCATCTTTGTCGCCATATTTATTAAATTGTTTATATATATATATATATATATATATATATATATATATGTGTGTGTGTGTGTGTGTCTGTGTGTGTGTGTGTGTGTGTGTAAAATATATAGAAAACAGGAAAGAACTTATATATATATATATATATATATATATATATATATATATTCCCTGAGGAATAAACAGACTGATTGGTGGAAGGCCAGTATACGAAACTCTAGGTTTTGGATGCTAAAGGTAAGTCACACATTTTACATTTTTTTATTATATATATATATATATATATATATATATATATATATATATATATATATATATATATATATATATCCAAGTATAGGATTCGTGTATACGAAATAAATTCCAATACAAAAATAATGTTCTTAAAAGAGGTCCCAATACAGATTAGAGCAAATATAATTTATTCGAAAATTATAATATAAATATGTTATAAAATCACTACAAAAATATCCATTTTGTTTCAACACTTCTGGTGTCTTATCAGTTGATGGTGTTGAATGTAGAATAAACTTTTTATTCTACATTCAACACCGACATAATAAATATATATATATATATATATATATATATATATATATATATATATATATATATATATATGAAAGAAGTATATATTAATTATTTAATTTAATTAATATAATTAAGGTAAATGAATAAAACTAAGCGAGGCTTTAAAAAAAGATAATTTATGTTATTTAGATAAATATGTTTGATAATTTATTCTTGAAATGCATTCGTTTTATTTTTCTATTTCAAATGATGAATATCAGGAAAGAAAATATTAGCAGAATGTCTGTTTATTCCTGTCTTCATTGCCAATTTTACGTGTAGACAAAAAGCGGCAACTTGCTTCCTGATGTATAAACGTGTCTAATCAAAAGCGGGAAAACAGAATTATATATTCGTTGTTTTAAGAAACAGAAAGTTACAGAGAACTGAAATTAAATTCTTTTATAGCTGCTTAATATTTTCATATTTTTGGCTGGATCTTTTCAGATCTTTTTCAGTATACAAAATGCATACATTCTCTTTCATCATGTCTACGTTTTATTTCATTTTTAAACGTTGCTTTTTAAAGCAATCCGCATTGCTGTGGAGTGAAGTTTGTTAAAAAAAACGGTGTCATGGGAAAAAAAAAACTGTCTTTTTAACCTTCCGTTATATTGCAGGCTCGTTTGTTCATGTTTGCCAAGGAATCTATTAATTAAATAGCATGTTACACTGGACGCTCTGTTGCTCAATGGGAAAACACTCTACTGTCTCAAGAATTCATTTCTACACAAAATATTCTCTGCAAACGGATTTTCAGACAAATAGGCTTCTCAAATTCACACATAGTTATCGTTCTCTCTAGGGTGGTGCAGGACAACTCATCATCGCCGACTCAACGCCACCGACATAACACCGGCCAACTCATCTCCTGACACTTCGATTCCAGGACAACTTACCACCAGCCTTCTCAGCGCGAGGACAACTCAACGATATGCAAACTATGAATGTTTTCTTATCAAAATTTAAAAAAAAACAAATAAACGTAATGATGAGTGCACTCAGGTCGGAGTCGCGATCCGTCTTGGACTCAAATTATGTGAGCGTCACAGATGCAGATGTGGAGCCTCCATCGATGAGTTTGGTTTGCATCCTGTCGTTGTAGTGCCGGCAGCTTTCCACCGCATGCAGCCATTAACAACATCATCAAAAGAGGTTTGGATGCAGCTCGGTTCCCTTCCCAAATCGAGATCTTAGGCCTCGACCCTGGTGATGGAAAGCGGCCGGATGGCATTACCATTTTCCCTTTTAAAATGGGGAAGTCGTTTGTTTGGGATGCGACCTGTGCGGATACATTTACGGTCGATAATTTGATCAGGTCCTCGGTTGAGCCAGGATCCGTCGCCCGGGATGCAGAGATAAAAAAAAAAAAGTAGTTAAATATTCTTCTCT